AAACAGAATGAGCCCCAAGACTGGCCATACATTAATTTAGTTTTTTTTCCCCAACCCAAAAAAAGCCAATTGCCCCATCCACACATTTGATGTAGATGGGGGAATCTCTTCCTCTGGACTACTGTATTTTGCTGGTGTAGTCTTGCTGTCAGAATACAATAATCAAACATCGATCTCGTCTCTAAATATCACCCAAACTCTACTCTCCACCCCTCGCAAGACCTCCTACTCTCCAGCTCCCTCGTCTCCTCCCATGCTAGTCTCCAGGACTTCACCAGAGCTTCCCCCATCCTCTGGAATTCTCTACCCCAATTTAACAGACTATTGCCTACTCTGCTCAATTTTAGGCGATCTCTGAAAACCTATCTCTTCAGGGAAGCCTATCCTACCCTCAGCTAATACTGGAATCTTCTCTTCCAACCAGTCCATCATCCACAGTTACCACCATTTGTACCACTAGCCCCTCCCTCCTAGATTGTAAGCTCCAAGGATCAGGGCCCTCCTATCCCTCTTGTATTGAACTGTATTGTCTCCCGTGATATTGTAAAGCGCTGAGCAAACTGTTGGCGCTATATAAATCCTGTATAATAATTTCTGGCTATAGCTGGTTGCAGCACTGGTCTTTTTTTGTTTTTTTTTAAAATCCAGACAAGCTGGTTGTACACAGGTCAGCACATAGATCAAACCATGTATAACCAAGGTGCCCATATGGCTCAAAATTCAGCCAGTCCCCAAACCAGCCAAATTTCAATTCATCTATGGCTGTCTTAAGTGTTACTTTGATAGGATTACCATGTAGGTTCTCATATTGATTGAGATTCTGGAAGGTTCCATTCCCCCATAAGTAAGTCAGCTGGTAGATACTCAAAGGAACTGACAATCCAGTTCTGATGCCTATGGGGTGATTGTACATAGAAGATCAGAGGACAATAAACACAAGTGTACAGAGAATTGACACTCCGGCCTGTGGCAGTGTATACACAGCCCATAGACAAGTAGGTGACAGTTTCATCCACAGTGCGTGGAGGAGACAACTGTCAGTCCATTGAAAGCATGGGTCCCCCTGTAAAAAACTAGGAAGGGGGTCTGCAGATAACTGCAACCACTCAGCCCCAGCTCCCTATTATCCAGGACAGGGCTAACAATGGTATAAGATGGACTGCAACAACAAACATGAACATAGAACCTGCTGCACATTTCTTCTAACAAGTATTTAATAGAAAAATATAGAAAGGTGATGGCAGAAAAAGACTGAGTGGTCCATTAAGTCTGCCCAATTGAAGCCATTTTCTGTTGACTGGCTCACTACCACTGCTGGAAGTTTACTGCAAGCATCAACTACTACTCTCTCAGTAAAAGTACTTTCTGAGATCAGTTTTGAACTTTCCTCCAGTTACGTTAAGGCCATTTCTCAGTGTTCTTGATTTCGATTGAGTTTATTGCCCAGTAGAGTCCATGTATGCATTGCAGAATGTAGGATATATGGCAATCTTGTTTATTGGAGCACCCTCATTACATTACAGAGCAGTGGTCTCACCCCTCTCCTCCAGTGTATTTTACAGGAGTGACACCTTCACTCTCCCATAAGATATGATTCAGAAATGTCCTAAACTGGTTCACAAGTTTGGTTGGGGGAAAAAAAAAAAAAAAAAAAAAACCAACCCACACACACACCACATTCATAATCTCCCCCCCCCCCCCCCCCCCCCCCCAACATCTCAGTAGAACTTCCTATGGACCCATTGGTTTGTCTCCTGAGGGCATTAGATGTTAAATATACCCCATCCACTTACATAGCCCTTAACCATCTTATACCTAGCAAGGAAATGGATGCGTGTGTCTGGCTCTCCCCCTAGTTGTAAATGGATTGAACAATTGAATTACATGCATAATAGGGAGGGGAACACTAAGCCCAGGTTCACACTGATGTGGAATTCACAGCATTTTTTGTGCTAAAACTGCACCCTGTTCATGCAAACCACTGCAGGTGTATTACGTTAACACCCGAAAATCAGTAAATCAGTTCACAAAATGTGGTGCGATGTGCAGAATCAGATCACATGGGTGTGATACCCATGCAATCTGATTCTAATGCAGACAAAAAAAAAAAAAAAAAAAGTTCTGCAAGTTTTTGGTGTGGATGTGGTGAGATTTGAGCCGTACAAAATGTATGGGTCCAACTCCACCACACAGAAGTCACATGTGATTTGCACAGGGATGCAATGCAGTTCTTGTGCAAATCACATGTAATATACCGCAAAAGTGAACCCGAGCGTAACAGAAATTCCTCTAAGAAATGTACAACCATTTAGCAATGCCAGCTTGATACTCCTGGTTTAACCCCTCACTCTACACAGGTTATTGCAATTATAGGATCAGTTCTATTGCTACAGTATGTGCAGCTGCTTGTTGACCTAAAGCTACCATGTGCTAGGTCTACTGAACCCAAATGACAGATATACCAAAGAAATATTCTCATCTTCCAAGATGAAGATACCTTGTGTACTGCTGGGGTTCCCCCCCCCCCTCGTGTACTGCTGGGGTCCCCCCCCCCCCTCGTGTACTGCTGGGGTTCCCCCCCCCCCCCCCCCCCCCCCCTCGTGTACTGCTGGGGTTTTTTTCCCCATGTCACTCCAGCAAATTGTTGTTCTATGGTATGTTTATGAACTGTTTTTTCATATCTATTGTACCCAGATGAGGATCTCAGGTCCTGTTATGCAATGCTCATTGTTTGAGGCTTTGACATAGATAGGACATTTGTAACTCTGTATTCTCAAGACAGTTTACATATTAAACACCTGCGTAGCAAGAAGTGCAAGAGCTTCAGCGGCTGTGTGCACTAGCAAAGTCAGTGGATCTGCAGATCACTAGATCCAAAGCTTTGCTGGAAAGGACTGCCGGGCAGGAAAGGATGAGTAGCCTGGTAACTCCACCAAGAGTGAGTGTGAGACATGCTCCCTCCCTCAGTGATGTGACCAGTCTGCTTATCCTTTCCTGCCCAGCAGTCCTTTCCAGCAAACCTTTGGATCTAGTGATCTGCAGATCCACTGATTTGCTAGCGCACACAGCAGCTGAACCGCCTGCACTTCTTGCTATGCTCCAGGCTTTCCATCCTGCTCTCTAAGGCACCTGTCTGCTCTGCACCTCCAGTAGCTCAAGCCATCCATCTGCCTACAGTTATAAACTTCTGCCATGAGTTTGCATGTTCTCCCTGTGCCTGCATGGGTTTCCTCCCACACTCCAAAGACATGCTGGTAGGTTAATTGGCTCCTGTCTAAATTGTCCCTAGTATGTGTGTGTATGAATGTGAATTAGGGACCTTAGATTGTACACCCCTTGAGGGTTAGGGACTGATATGAATGTAATATATGTAAAGCTCTGCGTAAATTGATGGTGCTAATATAAGTACCTAAAATAAATACAACAAGAATGGCATGCCTGCAAACATTTCACTCTAGTGAGTGAAATAATCAGGGCATCACCTGTCCTGTACAGGGCCCAAGCCATCAGGGGGCCCAGGCAGCTGGGTGAAGCAAATGTGGGCAGAGAGGGTGATTGGCACTGGAACCGATCCCCTGTATGTTTCTCTGCAGCAGCTGAAAGCTGGCTTCTCTCCCACCCACTGGCTTTCAGCTACTGCAGAGGGATTAGTTCCAGTAACTGTCCCCACGACACCCATCACCCTCCATTTCCTCCTGCTGCCCAAATTCCCCTGTGTGCCCCCACAGTGCTGCTAGCTTCCCTCCTCTCCATCCCACCAGCAGTTGCAGTCACACAATAGGATCCTTCAGGATGCAGAGTGGGGGGTCCAGTAAATAGGTCACATTTACGGGCCCCTTCCTTTCCAGAATGAACACAATGAGTGATTGGTACAAATCACCGTGTTCATTCATAACTGAAGCATAGTAAACAGGTTTTTTTTCCCCCAAGAGAGCCCTGTCAGGTTGGCTATATGGTTTCAAACAGCAGCCCTGATCAGAGTAGGATTGTAATGATTTTTTTAAATGAATTGACATACTAAATTAGTTCCTTGATAGCCTCTCTCCCCTTCCCCCCATGTCAGATATCGGTCTTCCCAAACCAGATTGGAGTCAGCAACCTGGTCCTATTAGTGTCTGTATAGAGGTCTCATTCTACAGCCTTCCCTCTGAGATTAGTTATTGTCACATGTCCCAGTATGAACAATTTGTTACATTGTATTGTGTTTGCAAGGGTTGGTCAATGAGCAGACCACACATTACTAATCAAACACCAACAGGGATTCGTTTCACCAAATCCATTAACAGCACCTGATCTGTGAATGAGCACCACAGGAGAGTTTCTTGTGTCCCCCCCCCCCCCCTCCCCTCAACAGAGACCTCATTTTACATCAGGGTATCCATTAGAGTCCCACAAACAGAGTGCTCCTCTTATCAAAGGGGGGGGGGGGTTGGGCACACCCAGTAGCATTTCTCCCCACCCCACAGCAACCCCCCCTTACATCATGGTCTCCATAGATCCAGGTAAAGTCTACCAGTCTGCAGGCAACAGGTGTGAGATTTGATTTAGAGAATACTTGTGTTCCATAAACCTTACCATCCATATCACATATGGAAAAAAAAATATTTATATATATACCAAATAATGAGAGAAATGTTATTCATCTTCCTGAGCTCTGTAACCCTCCATACAGCTGAAGAACACCCATTACTGCTGGTGCCTGTACCCTCCTTCTCCCATAGTACTCACACAAGGCTCTCTATCCACTCCTCAGGCTGCCACCCAGCAGGCTCTCCTGTCCAGCACACACTACCTGCTCCCACCTGCCTCCCCTATATAGGCAATTAGTGCCATCAACATCAATCACAGGTGTGCAGATCAGGCATCGCCGTGGACACCCTCCTCCCTGCCAAACGCAAGCATTACATAGGACGCCTCGATTAAGCCCCACGTAGAGCTCAGTGCTGTCTCTGCTCTTCCGCCACACTGTAAGGCCCCTCTCCTGTCAGGGGGTTTCCAAGATGGCGCTGCCCATACAGCGGTGCTGGTCTAGGTTGCGGGCTGTGACCTTACCGTGGCCGGCAGCAGCCGGTTATCACGCCAAGCCGGTGCCTCTGAACCTGAGCGGCTTCTTCATCCCGGATCCCGCCGACCCGAAGACGAAGGAGTGGCAGAAGGGCCCAGCCTACGAGGCAAAGCTGTACGGCCAGTATGGCAGCGCCTCCTGGGTGAAGCCTGAGCAGCTGTGGCCGAGCCCTGAGGAGCTGCAGATGGTGGTGGAGGAGGAGAAGGAGTGGTACCGGAGTCTGAGGGAGATGTTGAGCAACGTGGAGGCCAAAGAGATGGAAGAGCTGATGAAGAAGCGGGAGAGGTCAGTACCCGGCATAGACAGCAATCACATCTTTTATATGGACTAAGGGAGGGTTAGAGCCCCTGTCAGGGATTATTTATGTCTTCAGGGGCCCATTGCGGAGATTTCCCCTCACTTCCTGTCCCATAGCCAACCAGGAAGTAAGAGGAAATCCCTGAACTAGTGTCCTCATTGAGAGATTTCCTCTTACTTCCTGTCCCATAGCTGAAGCAGGAAGTGAGAAGAAATCTCTCCAAAGTGAGGAAAACCCTGAACTAGTGTCCCCATTGGAAGATTTCACTTCCTGTCTCATAGCCAAAACAGGCAGTGAGAGGAAATCCCTGAACTAGTGTCCCCATTGGAAGATTTCCCTTCACTTCCTGTCTCATAGCCAAAACAGGAAGTGAGAGGAAATCCCAGAACTAGTGTCCCCATTGGGGAGATTTCCCTTCACTTCCTGTCCCATAGCCAACCAGGAAGTGAGAGGAAATCCCTGAACTAGTGTCCTCATTGGGAGATTTCCCATCACTTCCTGTCTCATAGCTGAAGCAGGAAGTGAGAAGAAATCTCTCCAAAGTGAGGAAAACCCTGAACTAGTGTCCCCATTGGAAGATTTCCCTTCACTTCCTGTCTCATAGCCAAAACAGGATGTGAGAGGAAATCCCTGAACCAGTGTCCCCATTGGAAGATTTCCCTTCACTTCCTGTCTCATAGCCAAAACAGGAAGTGAGAGGAAATCCCTGAACTAGTGTCCACATTCGGAGATTTCCCCTCACTTCCTGTTCCATAGTCAAAACAGGAAGTGAGAGGAAATCCCTGAACTACTGTCCTAATTGAAAGATTTCCCTTCACTTCCTGTCCCTTAGCCAAATCAGGACGTGAGAGGAAATCCCTGAACTAGTGTCTCCATTGGAGAGATTTCTCCTCACTTCCTGTCCCATAGCCAACCAGGAAGTAAGGAAATTCCTGAACTAGTGTCCCCATTAGGGAGATTTCCTCTCACTTCCTGTTTCAGCTATGGGACAGGAAGTGGTGGGAAAAAACTGGATATGAGAGGATATGTCCCATTGTTGGTGTCAGTGGGAAGAGGAATGCCCTGCCGTTGGTGTTAGTGGAAGGTATAGTGCCCCATTTTTTGTGTCAGTGGGAGGAATTATGTCCCATTGTTGGTGCCAGGGGAAGAAATAGTATCCCATGGTTGGTGTCAGTGGGAAGAAGAGTGCCCTGCCGTTGGTGTTAATGGAAGGTATAGTGCCCCATTGTTGGTATCAGTGACAGGAATTATGTCCCATTGTTGGTGTCAGTGGGAGGAATTATGTCCCATTGTTGGTATCAGTGACAGGAATTATGTCCCATTGTTGGTATCAGTGACAGGAATTATGTCCCATTGTTGGTATCAGTGACAGGAATTATGTCCCATTGTTGGTATCAGTGACAGGAATTATGTCCCATTGTTGGTGTCAGTGACAGGAATTATGTCCCATTGTTGGTGTCAGTGACAGGAATTATGTCCCATTGTTGGTGTCAGTGACAGGAATTATGTCCCATTGTTGGTATCAGTGACAGGAATTATGTCCCATTGTTGGTATCAGTGACAGGAATTATGTCCCATTGGTGTCAGTGGGAGGAATAGTGCCTTGTATTGGTGGCAGGAATAGTACCCCGAGGGCCTGATAAAGGCAAGCAAAGGGCCACATCTAATAGTTGTTTAATTTTTTGAGAAAGAGAAAACTTTTTTTTTTCTCTTCTTTGGTTTATATACAGTATATTATTTTGCTAAGGATTTAAATTTTTTTTTTGAGGGACACCTAAAGCACTTTATACATTTGTTGTATCTTTTCTCAATGAAGTATTTACATATTCTACACAAGAAGTAGAAGCACAAACCCTAGTTCATCTCTGTATCTTTAGGCATTGTGTAGAAATACATTTTCAATGTTGAGGACAGAGGCAGTGAAATCATGGCTTTATTGTTTCTAATATGTAAATAAAGTAACGTCTACATAGTTTAACCCCTTCACACCTAAGAGTAAAACAAATCTAAAAGCCTAAGCACAATTTTGCAACGTTGACGTGTTAGTAAAACCATCCATATCATCACAACTACTTTGTACATCCAGGTGAATTATACTGCAATTTTTTTTTTCAGGACATATTGGGCTTTCATTTGGTAAATGGTAATGGATAGCTCCTGTTTCTTTTATTATCAAAGGAAAACTGGCCCAAAATAGTAAAAAAAAAAAAAAAAAAAATCTTTTTATTGTAGCGGTGTGTTTCTTGTTACAACCATAACCTACCACCAAAGAACAACCCAAAATAAATTCTCCAGCTCTTGTCGATCGCAGGGTTACCATATATGTGTGTTATTTGTTGTTTGTACCCGGAGTACAGCCCAGAAACAATAGTGCGCATTTTGTTTTTGTCTTTTTTTTTTTTTTACCTAAAACACACTAACACCAAAATTGTCTTTAAATCCTGACCTTTGACCCAAACACTTACCCTGCAACTGAACTAGATCAAACCTTGATCTAAGTATTTTTTCTTTATGTTGTAATATTTATCTATTTATCTTCTTTTTTTTTTCTTTTTTTTTAGAAACAGTAGTGCACATTTTTTTTTTTACCTAAAACACACTTAACTGACACCAATTTTTTTTTTCAAATCCTGACCTTTTACCTTGACCAGGGGCGAACTGACAACTCATGGGGACTGGGGAAATGGGGGATCATGGGGCCCCTGTGTCCTTGCCCAAACTCAAAAAAACCTATGAAAAAGGTACCAGGGGCATCTCATGGGGCCCCCTACTGACCCCGGGCCCTCAGGCAGTGCCCGAGTTTCCAAATGGTCATTCCGCCCCTGACCTTGACCCAGACACTAAGGGCTCGTTCACACTAGGCTGTTTTGCCAACGCTTGCCAAACGCCCCTATAGCGTTTGGCAAGCGTTGGTCCGGTGTTTGAGGAGCGTTTTTAACGCCCGGCAAACGCTCCGAAAACGCCGCATGCGCGGTTTAGCGGTGGTTGCTAGGCGTTTGCCGAGCGTTAATAACGCCCCACAAACGCCTATAATGCATTTGAGTGGTGTTACCGCTCCGCAAACACCCCGCAACCGCGTCGCAACCGCACGTTTGCGGAGCGGCACCATAGACGAGAATAGGAGGCTTCAAAGCCTCCTGACTCGACCAGAGGCGTCCGTTTTGCCGAGACGCAACGCGACGCGACGCAAACGCTCCTGTTAGAACAGCACCATGTGCTGTAATGTGCTGAATTGGCAGAGGCGTTTGGGAAGCGGTAAAAACGCTTCCCAAACGCCTCTCTGCCGCCTGCACAGAAGGCTAGTGTGAACGTAGCCTTACTCTGGCGCTGAACTAGAGAACTAAATCAAACCTTGATCTAGGTATGTTTTCTTTATTTTTTAATATTTTATCTTTTTTTTATTTTTTTTTTACAAACATTTTTTTTTCCACCTCTATGCAAGGAGTTACAGAGATACAATGTATCTCTCTCCTCCATTCATAGAGAGAGAAAAAAAACCCAAGCGGGCCGGGCTGTACAGTGACTGATCACTGTGATAGCCAATCAGAGGCTATCACAGTGATCATGTGACCCAGAATCGGGGGTCCTGATCGTTAGAGCGGGACCCGGTGCTCTCAGTAACCGCGGTCTTTGTGCTGGGAGCGTGCTGTGCGGCGCGCTCCTGGCAGAAAGACAGGTTTTTAAATATGTGGCCCCACAGAAAAAAGCCCAGTTCTGTGAGGCCGCATATTTGTGTGACGTCGGCGCCAAGGGGTTAATGTCCATAGTCTGGGCACAGGGGCAGTTTAAGATACTAAAGTAAGAATTTGTTTGGCCCAATGTGATGAATATTAGTGTATTACATGCTATAAGGAATAAAAATCTGCAGCACCGTAGTTTTTTCCAAAAAAAAAAAAAAAAAAAACTTTGACAATATTTTAAATCTGAATACCAAACAATATATACTGTATAACAGTGATAATCTGCTAATGGAATCCACCTCTGTGACACCCAAACTTCCAAGCCGGAAATATAGCGGTTTCTTTTTATTGCACTATGCACGTGACTTTTGCGCTTTCACTCATTTCCAACATTTTTTTTTATTTCTAAAAGGGAACGTCTGATCGCTGCCAACATGGCGAAGATGCCCAAGATGGTGGAAGATTGGCGCAGAGAAAAACGAGAGGCTCGGCTGAAGGAGAAGGAGGATAAAGACAGAAAGCTGCGTCTGTTGGCGATAGCCCATGAGAAGTTTGGTGTCACTGTGGATCCCCGCAGCACCAAGTTCCTAGACATGTTGAAAGACATGGAGAAGGATGAGAAGAGGAAATTAAAGGCTGTGAAGAGAATGCAGCGTGAGGAAGAAAAAGCGGCCATTGCAGCTGTCATGGCCACAAAACCACCTGCAGACCCAGACCATGGCAGTCCTGATACAGTGTGATCACCATGTACTGTTAGATTTGTATTGAAGAAACGATGGACCTTTCCATAGCAGCCCTTTCACCTTCCATCTTCTATACTGCTCTGGAAACATGTCTGCTGGGGACTGGTTGCTGCAGGGAAAAAAGTTTCTTGAGTTCTTAAAGACTGGATCTATATCCTATAGAGCAGTGGTTCTCAAGCTTCCTAATGCCCTGACCCTTTAATACAGTTCCTCATGTTGTGGTGACCCCCAACAATAAAATTGTTTACCCAGTAATTCTAATTCATGAAGTGTCATTTTACCTCCAATACTGCTGCTTTCAGCACAGTAGCTGCTTTCAGCACAGTAGCTGCTTTCAGCACAGTAGCTGCTCTTTACACATCGGAAATATGTGTTTTCTGATGGTCTTAGACTTAAAGGACCCCTGTGAAAGGGTCGTTCGACCCCCAAAGGGGTCGCGACCCGCAGGTTGAGAACCACTGCTATAGATGATGGGACACAAGCGGGATGTGTATGAGCTGACGTTTGTAATATGTATGTATGCAATGTTCCTATACAGAGACTTTACTATAAAATGGTCTTCAGCTGACTTTTTTCTTTTTATTGAAGCTGAATTCATGGTGATAGTCTTTGTTTTGTAGATGTCACGTTTCCCTTTAACACTTATTGAAAGTTGCAATGAACCAATGAAGATATCAAACAGCCCAAAGGAACCAATTAGACTTTACCTTTCATAAGTTTAGAGCAGTGGTCTCCAAACTGTGGCTTGCGGGTCACATGTGGCCCTATTGCTTGCTTTTATCCGACCCTTTAGGGTACTGTTCCTCCCACAGTTTTGAGGCACTATTCTTCCTGCTGACACCAACAATGAGACACCATTCCTTTCGCTGACACCAATGATAGGGCATTATTTCTCCCATTGGTATTGATAGGGCACTATTATTTCCACTGACACCAACAATGGGGCATTGTTCCTCCCGCTGACACCAACAATGGGGCATTGTTCCTCCCGCTGACGCCAACAATGTGGGCTTGTTCCTCCCGCTGACGCCAACAATGTGGGCTTGTTCCTCCCGCTGACGCCAACAATGTGGGATTGTTCCTCCCGCTGACGCCAACAATGTGGGATTGTTCCTCCCGCTGACGCCAACAATGTGGGATTGTTCCTCCCGCTGACGCCAACAATGTGGGATTGCTCCTCCCGCTGACGCCAACAATGTGGGATTGCTCCTCCCGCTGACGCCAACAATGTGGGATTGCTCCTCCCGCTGACGCCAACAATGTGGGATTGCGCCTCCCGCTGACGCCAACAATGTGGGATTGCTCCTCCCGCTGACGCCAACAATGGGGGATTGCGCCTCCCGCTGACGCCAACAATGGGGGATTGCGCCTCCCGCTGACGCCAACAATGGGGGATTGCTCCTCCCGCTGACGCCAACAATGGGGGATTGCTCCTCCCGCTGACGCCAACAATGGGGGATTGCTCCTCCCGCTGACGCCAACAATGGGGGATTGCTCCTCCCGCTGACGCCAACAATGGGGGATTGCTCCTCCCGCTGACGCCAACAATGGGGGATTGCTCCTCCCGCTGACGCCAACAATGGGGGATTGCTCCTCCCGCTGACGCCAACAATGGGGGATTGCTCCTCCCGCTGACGCCAACAATGGGGGATTGCGTCTCCCGCTGACGCCAACAATGGGGGATTGCGTCTCCCGCTGACGCAATGGGGGATTGCGTCTCCCGCTGACGCCAACAATGTGGGATTGCGCCTCCCGCTGACACCAACAATGGGGGATTGCTCCTCCCGCTGACACCAACAATGGGGGATTGCTCCTCCCGCTGACACCAACAATGGGGGATTGCTCCTCCCGCTGACACCAACAATGGGGGATTGCGCCTCCCGCTGACACCAACAATGGGGGATTGCGCCTCCCGCTGACACCAACAATGGGGGATTGCGCCTCCCGCTGACACCAACAATGGGGGATTGCGCCTCCCGCTGACACCAACAATGGGGCATTGCGCCTCCCGCTGACACCAACAATGGGGCATTGCGCCTCCCGCTGACACCAACAATGGGGCATTGCGCCTCCCGCTGACACCAACAATGGGGCATTGCTCCTCCCGCTGACACCAACAATGGGCACTATTTCTTCCATTACCAGCAATGATGGGGCACCATTGATTGTGATGCACGTTACATATTACCACACATGTCGGACTGGAATGCTAAACTTATAGGGGGGTTTTAAAAGGGTAGTAAACCCACTTTGTTAATAATGCTTACTTGTAGGTAAAATTAATATCTCCTAAACATGCAACGTATAGGAGATCTTCAGGGTTTTTTTTTTTTAGCTGGCTCATGCGCCGTTCCTTCAGAGCCATGTGCCGTGGCCCGTGACTTCAATGCGCAGGAGCGCCTTTACAGCAGTGACAGCACGCCACTGGAGGGCTTCGTTTTTAAGGCAAGTTTTACATAATGTGCTAGTATGTAATGCATAGGAGCACATTATGCCTGTACCTTGCAGGGAATGTTTCTTTTTTTTTTCTTTTCATGCAGTTTACTGCTTCCCAACCGCCCTATAGCAGAAATACTGCTACAGGGCACAATGGGTGTGCAAAATCACATTTTATTTATTTATTTATATATATATATAATATGTTTCATTTCCCCCTACCCGTTCCGCCAGCCGCGGCTGTCAATCACCAGGTCCCGGCTGATCACTCGCTGGCGCCCGGTAATTACTGAGGCTCTCTGACGGGGAGGAGAACTGTTTTGGTTACTAACAGTTCTCTTCCCTGTCAGCTCGGGTAAACTGCTTTGGATGGCTGTGTAAGAAATAAAAACCGCACAGGCGATCAAATACCACCGAAAGAAAACTAAATTCGTGGGGGAAAAAGGACGTAACTTTCATTTGGGTACAGTGTTGCATGACCGCACAATTGTCAAAGTAACATAGCAAAAAAATGGCTTGGTCAGGAAGGGGGGTAAATCCTCAAGAGAGCAAGGGGTTAAACAGTCCCCTATAAAAAATATACGGTACTAAAGTTTGTTGTCATTTCATGAGCACATGTAGGTTTAAGGTTTGACTTATTGGGTATCTGTTTACTTGGTGCAACCTCATCTTTTATGTTTTTATAAAAAAAATTGGGTAATTAATTTTGTTTATGTGCCCTAAAATTAACTATAGTGTATTTTTTTTTTTTTTTTACTGAAATGTAGCAATTTGTAGACCTTTTGCGTCAGAAAAAATTGGAAATACCACTATTTTATTCTTTGCGGTGTTTACTTTCAGAAAATATATCATGTTTTGGGGTTTTATACATTCAATCAGTCCAGGAACTCTCACACAGAAAGTCTGCCTACTCTGAGATTGCAGCACTCAAACCAGACTGAAGAATCTGAGGTTTTTCCTGGGAAAGAAATTGTCAGGTCCAGTGTGTAGTGAAGAGCAGGCCTAGGCACTCTAAGCAATGCCCCGGTTACAGGTCCCGGATCAAAATCAATTGCTGAAGTGTTTACACCTGACGTGCAGAGAAAAAGCCAAAATTGATAAGCCACAGAGTGGTAGTGGGGAGGACATCCAATGAAATAGAGGCAACGGTGGTGAGTTGTAAGAACAGGTATATGCAGATATGAATCTTTAATGTCCACCAAAGGCAGGAAATCTGATGGAAAGAAGCAATGATAAACCTGGAAAATTTCATCCAACCCAACAAAGATATTCAAAGCTTTGTGATTCAGAATATAGTTTATGCCCTTTTTAGTTTTGGGAGCCAAGAAGAGATTAAAATAAAACCTTTGACATTACTCTGCAACGGGAACTGGGTGCATGACACCTTTGTCCAAGAGGCAGGAGGGGAGCCCAGTGACCCTGCGATACCACCTTTTTCTCCCAAAGCATCAATGTAGAATTTTCAAGTGTCTCCAAAAGCTAGAAGGTGTCCCCACCAATGTGTAAAAAAGATTTGCATGCTGAGAAGGGTTTCATGGCAGCTTTGGAGAGCCGGACTTTTTTGACCCGATGAGGGGGAAGCCTTGACATCATGGAAAAAACTGCAGTGATGAAAAGGTTTCTGTGAATTTAAGAAGACTTTGTGAGCCTGGTTTTTGCCCATCTTATCATGCAGGAGGTGGGTGCTCTTCCCACTGCTAATGTCCTTGAGGAGCTTGTAAAACTAAGGATCAAAGAGACACTCTCCAACCAAGTGAAGGCTTTTCTTAGAAGACTGCCCTGCTGTGCCAAAGCGTAGTGTGCATAGATAAGGCTGGAAAGACCCCACGGAGCTACAATGCCTTGAAAAAAAAGTATTCATACCCCTTGAAATGTTCCACATTTTGTCATGTTACAACCAAAAACAAATGTATTTTATTGGGATTTTATGTGATCGACCAACAAAGTGGCACATAATTGTGACGTGGAAGGAAAATGATAAATGGTTTTCAACATTTTTTACAAATAAATATGTGCATTTGTATTCAGCCCCAAGTCAATATTTTGTAGAACCACCTATCACTGCAATTGCAGCTGTAAGTCTTTCTGGGGGTATCACTACCAGCTTTGCTCATCTAGAGAGTGAATTTTTTTTCCCATTCTTTGCCAATTAGCTCTAGCTCTGTCAGTTTGGAAGAAGAGCATCTGTGAACAGCAATTTTCAAGTCTTGCCAGATTGGATTTAGGTCTGGACTGTGACTGGGCCATTCTAACACATGAATATGCTTTGATCTAAACCAGTGGTTCTCAACCTGTGGGGCACGACCCCTTTGGGGGTCAAACGACCCTTCCACAGGGGTCCCCTAAGACCATCAGAAAACACATATTTCTGATGTGTAAAGAGCAGCTACTGTGTAGAAAGCAGCTGCTGTGTTGAAAGCAGCAGTATTGGAGGTAAAACGACACTCATGAATTATAATTACTGGGTAAATAATTTTATGGTTGGGGGTCACCACAACATGAGGAACTGTATTAAAGGGTCACGGCCTTAGGAAGCTTGAGAACCACTGACGTAAACCATT